TTTTTTATATAAATTTTCGATAAATAATTTTTTACTAATTTTTTAAATTTTGTACGTCCTTATTTTTTATTCAAATAATTTTTTATATAATTTTTGATAAATAATTTTTTTTCTACTTTTTTAAATTTTACACGTCCTTATTTTTTATTAAAATAATTTTGTTAAGGAAATTTTTAATAAATAATTTTTATTTCTCGAAATTTATCTAATGAAGGTATTTAAGTAGTAACTATTTAGCCTTATAATTTTTTAATAGTTTTTAAATTAGTTTTTATTTTCAAAATTTCTCTAACAAAATTATTTTAAGAATATTTTTTGATTAAATAATAGTTTTTTTAAATAATTTTTAAAATTAGTTTTTATTTTTCGAAATTTCTTTAACAAAATTATTTAAATAATGACTATTTCAGCCACTTATAATTTTTTTTTTAATTTCAAAAATTAGTTTTTGTTTCTTGAAATTTCTCTAACAAAATTATTTTAGGAATGATTTTTAACTGAATAATAATTTTTTTTTAAATAATTTTTAAAATTAGTTTTTTTTTTCGAAATTTTTCTAACAAAATTTTAGAAATGACTATTTCAGCCACTTATAATTTTTTACTTAATTTCAAAATTAGTTTTTGTTTCTTGAAATTTCTCTAACAAATTATTTTAGGAATGATTTTTAACTGAATAAATTTTTTTTAAATAATTTTTAAAATTATTTTTATTTTTCGAAATTTTCTAACAAAATTATTTTAGGAATGGCTATTTCAGCCACTTATAATTTTTTTACTTAATTTCAAAAATTAGTTTTTGTTTCTTGAAATTTCTCTAACAAAATTATTTTAGGAATAATTTTAACTAAATAATAATTTTTTTTTAAATAATTTTAAAATTAGTTTTTATTTTTCGAAATTTTTCTAACAAAATTATTTTAGGAATGACTATTTCAGCCACTTATAATTTTTTTACTTAATTTCAAAATTAGTTTTTGTTTCTTGAAATTTCTCTAACAAAATTATTTTAAGAACGATTTTTAACTAATAATTTTTTTTAATTTTTAAAATTAGTTTTATTATTCGAAATTTTTCTAACAAAATTATTTTAGGAATGATTTTTAACTGAATAATAATTTTTTTTAAATAATTTTTAAAATTAGTTTTTATTTTCGAAATTTTTCTAACAAAATTATTTTAGGAATGATTTTTTAACTAAAAAATTTTTTTTAATTTTTAAAATTAATTTTTATTTTTCGAAATTTTTCTAAAAATTATTTTAGGAATGACATTTCAGCCACTTATAATTTTTTACTTAATTTCAAAAATTAGTTTTTGTTTCTTGAAATTTCTCTAACAAAATTATTTTAGAACGATTTTTAACTAAATAATTTTTTTTTAATTTTTAAAATTAGTTTTATTATTCGAAATTTTTCTAACAAAATTATTTTAGGAATGATTTTTAACTGAATATAATTTTTTTTAAATTTTTAAAATTAGTTTTTATTTTTCGAAATTTTTCTAACAAAATTATTTTAGGAATGATTTTTTAACTAAAAAATTTTTTTTAATTTTTAAAATTAATTTTTATTTTTCGAAATTTTCTAACAAAATTATTTTAGAAATGACTATTTCAGCCACTTATAATTTTTTTACTTAATTTCAAAAATTAGTTTTTGTTTCTTGAAATTTCTCTAACAAAATTATTTTAGGAATGATTTTTAACTGAATAATAATTTTTTTTAAATAATTTTTAAAATTAGTTTTTATTTTTCGAAATTTTCTAACAAAATTATTTTAGGAATGACTATTTCAGCCACTTATAATTTTTTTACTTAATTTCAAAAATTAGTTTTTGTTTCTTGAAATTTCTCTAACAAAATTATTTTAGGAATAATTTTTAACTAAATAATTTTTTTTAAATAATTTTTAAAATTAGTTTTTTTTTTCGAAATTTTCTAACAAAATTATTTTAGGAATGACTTTCACACTTAATTTTTTTACTTAATTTAAAATTAGTTTTTGTTTCTTGAAATTTTCTAACAAAATTATTTTAGAACGATTTTAACTAAATAATTTTTTTTAATTTTAAAATTATTTTTGTTTCTTAAATTTTCTAACAAAATTATTTTAGCGATTTTTAACTAATATAATTTTTTTAATAATTTTTAAAATTAGTTTTATTTTTCGAAATTTTTCTAACAAAATTATTTTAGGAATGATTTTTAACTAAAAATTTTTTTAATTTTTAAAATTATTTTTATTTTTCGAAATTTTTCTAAAAAATTATTTTAGGAATGATTTT